AGAACATGTGGCTGTTATGTTTCACTGAGACCTTCTGTGATGTTACTGAAACCAGCCGAGTTCAGAGCCGTGACCAGGCTCTCCATCGTAGCTTGAGTGCCTTCTCGGTCCTGCCAGGCCACCAGCAGCATCTTGGCCTGTAGTTCTACATCCTCGCTGTCAGACTCGATCACGCGGATCTCCTTCTCGCTCATCTCCAGGTGGTCTGCCAGCGTCTTCCACTGCGACCCAAGCTTGGCTGCGATCTCGTCCATCTGACTGTTGGTCACGGCCTTGCTCTGAATGCTGGGACCTGGAAAAGGACAGTTCACTTTGTCAACAAATAAGCTTTGACACTCTCTTATGCTAGCTCAGATCCAAATCCAGTGCTGCAAACATTGACAATGTTGTAAGGCATCACAGACCCCGTTCACACCAGGTAACCCGATAGCCGGACATAACATGCATTGCAAATGCATCTCCTGTGACCACTTGTAATTGGTTTCATCGTCCTCAGACCGAATGGTGATGAGGCAAAACACAAACATCCACACAGAGATGGGCACTCGAGTTAGTGACTCGGACTCGAGTCGCATTTTTATAGACTTCAGGCTTGACTTAGACTCGACCTGAAATGACTTCAGACTTGACTCGGACTCCAAGTTAAGACTTGTGAACATCCCTGCATCCACATTGTTCTTAATATGAAGAGATTATTTGCAAAAACAGATTTTCAAAAATGTGGGGGTTTTTTGTGTTACGTTTTTGTGTTGGTTAGCTAGTATTATTTAGTTATTTTTACCTAATCAAAATAAACCAACTGCAGTTTGATTGAGATTAACTGGATTGCACAATGAAAAAACTTTGTTGAAAATTGTTAAAAACGGAGTTATGCGTTTTTGCAAATGAACCATGTTTTTAGGGGTCAAGGCACAAAGGGGCAAAGACCTTGTAATATTACCATAGAGCCATGTGTTAAAAACACACAGAACATAGCAAAATCTGAGAATCCCAAACCCTCTATCACAACCAACTGCTCAAGAGTTTTACTTGTGCTTATGCTATAACCATAAGGCCTAGTAGTACAATTTCTGACTTGAATGCCTAACATAGTTCTGAGAATTTCTGCCAATTCAAATT